CCCACGATTATGATGTCACTGCCCCTATCGAAGATGACCTGAAACATCATTTATCCCACTACTATCAGAGCCATAATAATTCCCCTTTCAGTAAGAGTTCATAGCAAGTTTCAATAAAGCTAACATATTACATACTTCACTAATGCATGCCAACGAAATAGACATAATGAAAATGCACCAATCCAGCAATTTATGAAGGAAACAAAAAACAGTGAAACAGTCATTTGAACGTACAGAATATGGTGTGTTATACTGCTGGCCAAGCGCATCGCCACCAGTGACCATTTGAACTCCAGGTGTTGCCTGAATAAATGCTGGATTTACTGGTGCACCTGGCCATGAGGCTGGGTTTACCGAGATGAAGCCAATCACAAAATCAGAATGTTCTTCAGCAATTTTTACTGCTGCAGCAGTGTAATCTCCCTTGGCAAAGTTGCCGGCTGAACTCATTTCTGCAAGCAGCAAGAGGCCCCTCCCACGAGGCAAACCCTAAATAGAGTCCAAGAGTAAGCAAAAGTTAGATACTGCCAGGACTAATTCAGTAATATGATTCCCCAGATAAAAGTTGTGTGAGGCATACCTTCAATTTCAACCCGTCAACAATTCCAGGACCAGAAATAATGTGACAATTAACTATATCAGCCCAATCCAATATATGGAAGATACCACTGCAAATAACAGAGCAAAGAAATCTCAGACTACTGTAAAGATACCAGCAGAAAGGAAACCAGAAAAGTCACATAACACTGATGCTCACCCTTCATACTGCATGGTCACCGTGTTACCGATGTCAGCAAACTTACGATCTTCAAAAATTAAAAAGTTGTACTTATCTGCAATCTACAGGATGCAAAAGCACAATGAGCTATGAGGAAATAACAACTAATTTGCACCTAGAAGAAAACGGGAATAGTAGAAAAATGATGAGGAAAATACCATTCGGCTGCCAAGACATCTAACAAAAATTTAGTCATGTTATCAATACTTCTTCAACCTAATTACCAACCAAACCAAATTCCACAAGCATTCAAAAAATTAAGAACGTTTGTATATGCTAATTTTGTACTCTGGTATTTACAGATCATCAACAACTTCAGAAGATTCATTCTCATAATTACCAAACATATCAAGAACAGTCATAAAACAAGTCAATTCAAACTGCCCCTTGGCTAAGTTATCAGTGGAAAACATAATGAAATTTACAGCTCCCGCTTCATAACATGTAATTATCATTTTGCACCATCCAAAATGATAATTGGTGGTCAAAGGTTAGCATTGACATATCATCAACTGGAAAAACATAATGTAGCAGAATTTTCATGCTTCCAGAGAATCTGAAGAACTAAAACTCCATGCAAATAACTTTTATTATAACACCACAAAAACCTCATCAAAGCAGCAAACTTCAAAATACCAAGTTTAGAGACATACCGCACGAAGTTTTGCACCAAAATCAGGATTGAAATCAGGCAAAATATCGACATGGGTTTTCAACAAACATATCTCGGGTCCAACCTACACTCAAAAAATAAAATAAAATAAAATATATAGAAAACCATGTCAGCCAAACAAAAACAAACAAACATAGCACTCCAATCATCCCCAACCAACCCAATACCAATACACTCACTTTTTCAGCAAGCTCAAGCAATTCCTTAGCAGTACCAACATCAGCTGCAACACACAGATTACTCTCCTTTTTAACCATAACCTCAAACAACCTCTTCCCCGTCTCATTCTTTGCTAATTTCGCCCTTTCCTCAAACCCTGAAACCTTAACCCTAACACTCTTATCCACCCCTTTAACAACACTAACCTTCCTATTCTCCTCCAAGAACTTCAAAACCCCCTTCTCCACTTCCTCCTCCAATTTCCCCTTCTCCCTCAAAACCCTAACCATCTCACTCAACTTAATAATCGAATGCAACTTAATCCCGTTCTCCTCCAAATTCTCCCTCCCTCCTTGTTCCCTGTCAATCAAAACCACTGCATCCGTCACCTTCAACCCCGCAGCCATCAACGGCAAAGCCGTTTCAAGAACAGAAGTCCCACTCGTAACCAAATCTTCAACTATCAAACAAGTCTGGTCCTTTTGGAAATTTCCCTCGATAGACTTAGAGGTACCGTAATCTTTCACTTCTTTCCTGCGCATTACCATGGGGATGTCGTTCGAGACTGATACGGTGGTGGCGATTGGGAGAGCGGTGTAGGGGACGCCGCATATGAGGTCGAAAGTGGTAGTGGCAGGGATGGAGGTGATCAGGGTTTGGGAAATGTGGCGGAGGAGGGAGGGGTATGAAATTATGAGGCGGAGGTCGATGTAGATTGGAGAGGTTATACCGGATTTGAGCTTGAAGGAGCCAAATTTGACTGCCGAGATCTCGTGGAGTTGGAGAATTAGGGATTCCATGGAGGACATTTTGCGGTGGTGGCGATAACAGTAGTTGCGCCGAGAGAAGCGAGGGAAAGAGAGAGCAAGTGTCAGTGCTCAGTGGAAACGGAAGGGTTTATGGAAGGAATGAAAGTTATTGTCGTCCCTTTTCTTTTTTCTTTTTACGTGTTGCTCCCCAAGTTGTTTATTTAATTAGATATTTTTATGATGAGTGCTATTTTTTTATGACGAGTAATTATTTATCACAATATTTGTTTTTTTTGTTTTCTTTTTCCTTTTATAATCGTAGTAATTGTTATGGACATCAATTTCTTTTTTAGGAAATTAGCAATAAGGGTCACAGCACCTTTTCTGCCTGAGGTTAGAGGTAATTTTTTGCTGGGTTTTAAATAAGTGTATATAAATAGTATGAGAGACATGTAATTATGGTTCCATCCAATCCAATAATCTATTACTATATTACTATGAAATCTAGATTGGATTTTCTTTTTTATCTATTTAGAAAATTAGAACAGTCAAACCAAAGTCATCCAGTGGATTAGAACAAAACAAAACTTGGATATGATTTGATTAATAATTTTTAAATTTATCTAAAAAATATTATTTTAACCTTTTATTTTATTTTATTTTTTAAAATAATATTATTTTATTAATAAACTATAATAGCACTCATCAACTTGCAAGTTAATCTTTTTAATTTATAACCCCATTGATATTATAATCACAAAAAAATCATTTAAAAAGTTTTAACAGCTAATTTATTTTAAAGCAATTTTTGATCAATATTTAATAAAATAAATTTTTTAAAAATAATTTATATGTATTTTTTTAAAAAATTACATATTTGAGTTTTTATTTTATTTTATTTTTTAAAATGATATTATTTTATTAATAAACTATAAGAACACTCATCAACTTACAAGTTAATCTTTTTAATTTATAACCCGATTAATATTATAATCACAAAAAAATCATTTAAAAACTTTTAACATCTAATTTATTTTTAAGTGATTTTTGATTAATATTTTATAAAATAAAATTTTGAAAAATAATTTATATGTATTTTTTTTAAATTATAGATTTGAATTGTATAAATTTAAAAATCATTAAAAATTTATATAATTATTAATTTTAAAATATATAAAATTAATTAAATAACAAATAATTTGATCTACACATCTAAATTAATAAAAAAAATAAAAACTTTTGCCCTGATCCTCTTCTTTTCACTTTAAAAACAATTATATGATAATGGAGACAATGGCCCGAGCCCTGATGTGTCCATGCCTTCAGTGCAGAAAATATCAATGATCCACCATTAAAGTAGAAATGGACGGTCCCAGTCAAGTAGGGCATCCCATCATACAAAAAGATAGAAACTGAGTTCAGGTCACCCGAAAACCAATCATCCCCGTGACTGTTCAATACAGGTGAGATGACGGTGTATAATTCAGAAAATATATTTTCTTTTATTTTTTTATTTTTGAGTTTTAATTCTTAGAATCAATATTTTAAAAAATCTATTAAATCCATCGTCAATATAAAAAGTATATTTTTAAAATAAAATAAAACCTTGTTTTGATTAACTTGTAATTTGCTTAAAAAATATCCTAAGCATTTGTTTGCGAGCGCGTAAGGGCAATTTTTTAGATAAAAAGAAAAAAGAAGAAGAAGATAATAATTAGACAAGTCAATGTAGAAAAAGGCCATGAAACAATTTACCCAGCCCGTTCGCCTTGTGCAAGGCCCATTATTCTTGAGTTATCCTGGGCCTCTGGTTCTTGCAGGCCCATAACCATCGTACCAACAAGACTAACTGAGTCCTAAAATAACGACAACTCATTTTTTCATGTAGAATTCAGTGATCGATTTGCAGTGGTTTATAGTTTTTAAAATGTTTATAATTTTTTTAATATTAATATTTTCAGGTGTTCTTAATAGTTTTTTTTATCTTGATGTTAAAAATATAAAAATAATTATTTAAATATATTTTGAATAAAAAAATATTTTTACAAATATTATCAAGTAACATCAAAAACTCAATTATAGCACCTTGAAAAAATGCCTGAGCATGCTCATGCAAACAACTCTGTAAACGCCTAAAGCTTCTTCCATTTGAGGATCAAAAACACGAGGAAGAAATAGACCTTTAACCACTGTTATACGTGCAGATAGATTTATCACAATAATACTAAGGCTGCATGAAATATATATCAAATCCTTCATCAAAATTTATTTAGAATGTTCTTGGATTAAACAGCAACTACGTAGATGGAATGATAACCCTTTTAAAAGTATTATGAAATTAAATAGATAATTAAAACTTTAAAAATACTATAAAAACATCCTCTCGTATCTAAAATCTATTTGGTTTCATTTAACCCCATCACAAAATTCTACAACAAAAAAAACTTTGTTTTAAGAAGAAAAAGCTCTCAAGCTTTATGATTAACTTAAGATTGAAAGGAAAATTTTAAGGTGAGGGTTGATGGTATCATAAATGTCCAGTTAATAGGGATCCAATAGAGAAATATTTTTGTTTGGGTATCAAATTTACAAATATATGGTAATTAGGGATGAATATGTATTTTGATTAAATCTTCACAGCCCCTTTGCAACGGAAACTTGCTTTGGCAGGACCTTGTCTCGTGTTCTGTTTTTTCTCCCTGTCCGTGGACTTATAATCCCTACGAAGACCCACAGATCAAGGAAAAACTTTTTGAGTCAACAGAGCGGTGCGGCAGCCATTGTTTCAAGCTCATCTTCCATCATGCTTGCGCCAGGTTCTAACATTGATTTTCTTCTTAAATCCATTTTCATACGTGGGTTCTGTGGATCATTGCACTTGGTTTTGTTACTCGCTTTATCTGTCTCATATGTGTGCAAGAAACTGAGCAGGAGGGGTGATGGGGAGGGCTCTAAAGAGACGTTAAAGATAAAGAGGAGGTTTATGTGGTATAAACAGGCTATGGTCTGTTGTTTGGGTGTCTCAGTGTTTAATTTCATCTTGTGTTTGTTGAGCTACTTTTATCTGTATGGAAATGTCTGGTCTGATGGTGAAGCAATGACCCTTTTGGATTTGGGCCTCAGAACACTCTCTTGGGGTGCACTTGTTGTTTACTTGCATACCCAGTTTTTTAACTCAGGTGAAAAGATGTTCCCTTTGTTATTGAGAGTTTGGTGGGGTTTCTATTCGGCTATTTCTTGTTATTGCTTTTTTGTAGATGTTTTCCTTCATCACAAACATGTGTCTTTGGCGATAGAGTGGTATTTAGTGTCTGATGTGGTCGCTGTGTTTACTGGATTGTTTCTTTGTTATGTTGGGTCTTTGAGAAGTGATATTCAAGATGTACTTGAAGAACCCCTTTTGAATGGTGATTCTAGCTCGATTGATAATTTAGAGAACAGGGGGGCAGATACGGTGACTCCTTTTGGAAACGCTGGTCTTTTCAGTATTCTAACCTTTTCTTGGATGAATTCTTTAATTGCTGCTGGCAACAAGAAAACCTTAGACCTTGAAGATGTTCCTCAACTTCACGGTGTCGATAGTGTGGTTGGGGCTTTTCCAGTTTTTAAAAATAAGCTTGAGTCGGATTGTGGTAGAGTTACAAGGTTCAAGTTCGCAAAAGCTTTGTTCCTGTTAGTCTGGAAAGAAATTTTATGGACAGCTTTATTGGCGTTGATTCACACGTTAAGTTCTTATGTTGGTCCCTACCTTATCGATGTTTTTGTTCAATGCCTTGATGGGCGAGGAGAATTCAAGAATCAAGGTTACATTTTGGCTTTCGCCTTTGTGGTTGCAAAGCTTGCTGAGTGCCTCGCACATAGGCATTTGCGCTTTAGGTTGCAGCAAATTGGAACAAGGCTCCACGCAGTAACAACCACGATGATATACAACAAAAGCTTGACCATTCCCAGTCATTCGAAGCAAGGGCATTCGAGTGGACAAATAATCAATATTATGACTATTGATGCTAATAGAATTGGCATCTTTAGTTGGTACATGCACGATCCATGGTTGGTCATCTTGCAAGTTTGTTTGGCCTTGCTGATACTGTACAGAAATTTGGGACTCGGGTCAGTTGCTGGCTTTGTTGCGACAGTAATTGTCATGTCGTTAAACTATCCTTTCGGGAGATTGGAGGAGAAGTTTCAAGACAAGTTAATGGAATCAAAAGATAAACGAATGAAGGCAACCGCGGAGATTTTGAGAAATATGAGAATTCTCAAGCTTCAGGGATGGGAAATGAAGTTTTTGTCTAAGATTCTTGAACTCAGGAAAGTAGAGACACGGTGGTTGAAAAAATACTTGTATACTTCAGAAGTGATCACTGTTGTCGCCTGGGTTACTCCGACTGTTGTGGCTGTGGCCACCTTTGGTACTTGCATGCTTATGGGAGTCCCGCTTGACTCAGGGAAGGTCTTATCTGCACTTGCAACATTCGAGATTCTTCAATCCCCAATCTATAACCTTCCCAATACAGTTTCTATGCTAATTCAAACAAAGGTTTCTCTCGACAGAATTGCATCTTTTCTTTGTCTCGATGACTTGCAGCCTGATGCTATAGAGAAGCTTCCAGGAGGCAGTTCTGATACAGCAATCGAGATTGTTGATGGAAATTTCTCTTGGGATTTGTCTTCACCCAGTGCAACATTGAAAGATATAAACTTCAAAGTGTTCAATGGTATGAAGGTAGTTGTATGTGGTACTGTTGGATCAGGCAAGTCGAGCTTGCTTTCCTCCATTTTAAGAGAATTACCCAAGATCTCAGGGACACTTAAGCTGTGCAGGACAAAGGCCTACGTTGCTCAGTCACCTTGGATACAGAGTGGTAAGATAGACGAGAACATATTGTTTGGTAAGGGGATGGACAGAGAAAGGTACGAGAAGATACTTGAAGCATGTTCCCTAAAGAAGGACCTGGAAATCCTCTCATTCGGTGATCAAACAGTAATTGGTGAGAGGGGTATCAACTTGAGTGGTGGACAGAAGCAAAGAATACAGATAGCACGTGCTCTCTACCAAGATGCCCAAATCTATCTATTTGATGATCCTTTCAGTGCCGTGGATGCTCACACTGGATCTCATTTGTTTAAAGTAAACTATCCCTTCTTCCTTGAAACCATTGCTTAGTGGATGCTAACTTTTGCTTTCGATTTCTATAGAAAAAATCACTAGTCTAGATAAAAACACCACCCTTTGTTTTAATTTTCCTTTTAGTTGCTTCCTCTTTTATTCTTCTTTTCATGCCTAATAAAAAAAAAATGGCATTTCTCTTACATTAAACTTGTTCGATTTTGCATGACAGGAAGTTTTGCTTGGTCTTTTAAGTTCAAAAACTGTTATTTATGTTACTCATCAGGTTGAGTTCTTATCCACTGCTGATCTAATCTTGGTGAGTAATATGCTTTGTTTTCTTCATTGCTTGTGGGATTATCATGTCTCCTATTATTTCATTTGTTTCAACTGTACCATCTGGTTAGGTCATGAAAGATGGAAGGATCGCGCAGGCTGGAAAGTATGATGACATTCTCAATTCAGGATCTGATTTTACGGTTCTTGTTAGTGCACATAAGGCAGCTTTATCAGTTCTTGATTCCAGACAAGCAGGACCAGTTTCCGAAAATGAAAGTGTCAAAGACAACAATGGAGGCGAGAACAGTACTGATGGGATTGTACATAACGAAGGAAATAAAGATTCACAAATTGGTAAAGCAGATGAGGTAGCTGAGCCACAAGCACAACTCATTCAAGAAGAAGAGAGAGAAAAAGGCAGTGTTGGGTTTCAAATCTATTGGAAATATATCACAACAGCATACGGAGGAGCTCTGGTGCCCTTTATATTACTGGCCCAACTTCTCTTTCAGATCCTTCAAATTGGTAGCACTTATTGGATGGCATGGGCAACTCCTGTGTCAAAGGATGTGAAACCTGTTGTTAGTGGATCTAGACTGTTAATCGTCTATGTATCTCTGGTTATTGGAAGTTCTTTTGGCATCCTGACTCGAGTCATGCTTCTTGTAACAGCAGGGTACAAAACTGCAACTCTACTATTCAACAAATTGCATCTGTGCATTTTTCGTGCTCCCATGTCCTTTTTTGATGCGACCCCTAGTGGACGAATCATTAACAGAGTAAGCAATTTTAGTGTCTTTTGCTCTTTATATAAGTGATTATAATTAATTAGGGGAGAGTACCATGTTCAATATTTTTACCTCATTGATCTATTTCCTCTCACGTAGGCTTCTACAGATCAAAGTGCATTAGAGATGGAAATTCCATATATAGTTGGGGAACTTGCCATCCAAGCAATCACGCTTCTGGGAATTATTACAGTGATGTCTCAGGTGGCATGGCAAGTTTTTATGGTTTCCATCCCTGTGATTGCTGCATGTATCTGGTATCAGGTACTCCTTGTGGTTTCTTAAAATCTCATTTTGTTTTCTGAGCTCTACTTCAGTGAACAAAATCTAATAATATCATTAGATCTCCTGATGTTTCTTATAATTTCTTCATATGTCTCTTATTAGCGTTTCTTTTCCCAAGATGCTGAGCTTGCAGGAAAATTTTAAAAATAGTGTCAATGGCATGCAATTAGATGCAGCCCCTGTTTCATTATGACAAGTAGCATATATGATGATTTAGCATTTAGAAAGAGAGGAGTTCTAACATATTTATTGATGCCTGCAGCAATATTACATTCCCTCAGCAAGAGAGCTTTCACAGTTGATTGGAGTATGCAACGCTCCAGTTATCCAAAATTTTGCAGAAACAATTTCAGGAGCAATAATGATCAGGAGCTTTGATCAAGAATCAAGATTCGAAGAAATAAATATGAAACTAACAGATGCATATTCTCGGCCCAAGTTTCATAATTCTGCTGCAATGCAATGGCTTTGCTTCCGAATGGACATGTTCAGTTCTATTACGTTTGCTTTCTGTCTGTTTCTTTTAGTCTCTTTTCCAGAAAAAATTAATCCAGGTTGGCAGTTCTTGTCTTGCACCTGTTCTCTATTTCCCTTCCTATTGTCAACCAATGAGTGAACCTGAAATACACGTTTTTTTTTTCTTTTCCATAGCCATTGCAGGCTTAGCTGTTACGTATGCGCTTGGCCTACACATGGCACAACATGTGTTGATATGGTGTTTCTGCAATTGCGAGAACAAACTCATATCAGTAGAGAGAATTCTTCAGTACATTTCTATACCTGCCGAGCCTCCTCTTGTAATTGAAGCGAACAGGCCTGGCCATTCTTGGCCATCACATGGTGAAATTGACATCGATAATCTGCAGGTAATTTTGTTCTGTTTGTTGCTCTAATTGGCATGCATTATTTTTATGTTACTAATGGTTGGATACGATGCAGGTCCGATATGCCCCACACATGCCACTTGTGCTGCGTGGTCTCTCATGCACTTTCCCAGGAGGAAATAAAACTGGTATTGTTGGGAGAACAGGCAGTGGTAAATCTACCCTCATACAGGCTCTTTTCCGAACCGTTGAACCTGCAGCTGGTCAGATTATGATTGACAACATTGATATCTCACTGATTGGCCTGCATGATTTAAGGTCAAGACTGAGCATTATTCCCCAGGATCCAACCATGTTCGAAGGGACTGTTAGAAGTAATCTGGACCCACTTGAAGAGTACACAGATGAACAGATCTGGGAGGTGTGTTGTCTCTGTTATGTTAGCTCAATGAGGGGCGTGTGAATGCTGTTATACACGTGCCTGTGTGTTTCTTCATAGAATTAATGTTCAGTATTTCAAGGATTGGTGATTGAAACATAGCACAAATGCTAACTTAAATTTGTTATGATCCCAGGTTCTGGATAAGTGCCAACTTGGAGATGAAGTTAGGAAAAAGGAAAGGAAGCTAGATTCCACAGGTTTGTCTTTCTCAC